AAATTATCAAAGCTACCCTGGAGGAGTTCCCGATCCCAGAGGCCTCATTCAAACGTCAATGTCGGGGCGTCAATTGCCGTGTTCGTAGTGCGTGCCATGGCTGTCGGGTGCATGGATGTTGCTTTGGTGGTAAGTATCAGGGATGGGGTTGTGCAGTGTGCTCGAAATGTACACGGTGCCGCTCGGCGCTGGATGATGAAGATTGGAAAGTTGCTGAAATATTGCTTACCAGGCGAGGTTGCATTCCACCGTCTATCAGCGGCCTCCAGAGGCCGCCTCGCCCAGATTCGGCACCACCGCTTAAATGCCAATGGTGTTCGGAGACGTTCTTATCTATAACTAAACGGCTGCACATGAAAGATCTTGATTGCATATGCCTTATGCTATGTGGATTGCACGCACACGACATTGCATGAGTACGCAGAAGGATCGCACAGTTGAGTGCCAGCATTGTGCCACGTGTTTTCAAACAAAACGAGGAGCAGTTCAGCATGAGAAGAATTGTGCACATAGACGTGAATTGGCAGGGCTTCCTTTGAGTACGCAGAGATGGCACAAAACAGCGGATGATGCCGCGAAACTTTGACTTCGGTCGGGCCAGGACGAAGGTTGCAGTCCTGACCCTGTCTCTTGACCTTGGGATGATATGTATGTCTATTTTTCTTGATGGTCTGAGTTGTGCGGTACCTTGCGTTTCGATGGTGGCCAGTTGTACTCAATAGTGTAGTAGGAACGTAACCACTTTTGTTACTTACTGGAATATATTGTGGAAAGATGTCGAATGCTATGGATGCGATTGCCGCCGCAAAGAAGCGCGCATCGGAGGGGGCTGCGGATCCGAGGGCTGAAAAGACCAGTGGCCGCCAAGAATGTGGGGACAAAGATGTGTCGAAGTTCATTACTCGCCACTACCTCGTTTTCAAGCAAGAGGCGAAGTCGTTCATGAACGCGAAGGCGCTGGTGATGCTCTTCCGCGCGGAGGAGACTAAGCAGACCATGGTGCACTTGGCGCAGCAGTGGGAGGGCGACAAGCCCGAGCCGACCGAGCAGCAGAAGAAGGACAAAGTTTCCCCGCCGCACCCGTCGGGCATGGATCGCAAGCAGACGTGGATGCTGACCTGCGCGCTTGGCCTGATCGAGTCGGAGATGGAGGAGTGCAACAACAAAGAGGCCGAGAAGGCGTGCATGTACCTCAGGAGCCTGTCGGTGGCGGAGCGCGACCAGCTGGCGGCTCTGCTCAAACCTCGCTTCTCCACGCCGAAGGAAAAGAGGGCCTGGGAGTTCGAATGGGTGATTTCCGACTTTACCTCGGAGCCCAACAAGGCCGCATTCTATACCCTTTTGGTCAAGCAGTCGAAGCGGGGCCAGATTTCAGCGGAGTTCGCCAAGCCCGTCCCCCAGCCCGGCAGCGAGGCGCAGTTGTGGGGTTGGCTCAAGAAACAGGCGAAGTGAGCGCTCGGAGGCGCTCGGCCCTCCCCTCTCTTTTGGAGCCTCCGCCGCTATGGGGGCCAGAGGGAGGGGGGCGCGATGGAGGAGCACGACACGGCCTGCACGTCGCGGGCAACGTAGACCTCTGGAGAGACTCTGAGATTTTGAAGCGTGGCTGCATGACCGCTGGAGTTTATATAGGTTGCAGAGTAACTGGATTTCTTGTCTACACCATCGTGCTCCTCCGCCCCGAGTCGAATTCTAGATGCATGAAGTTTTTGATCGAGGATGTCAGCAGTTGGCTTTGGGTTACGAAGGTATACTTCAACGTGCTGATCACCAAAATCCTTTACAACCAGGAGCACGGGCAGGAGTGGTCTTGCGTGATGAGAGTCTTCCTCGGAGGGAAGACGCACGCACCCCGGCGCCTGCTGAGGGCGGTTGAGGATATCAGGAACGAGCCTGACATTTCGGCAGGGCGCATCCATACTTCGCTGGGTGACGGCAACGCCGCGGCAAACCATGATACGTTCTTCTGCTTAGTCATGACCGTGAACGGCAGTGCTCAGATGATCATATGAGGAGTTGAACAACATAACGGTGGAGCAGAGTGGAGAGCGCCGCGCAAGTGGCGCGGACTAGCTACGGCGGCGCGGGCCCTAAGCATCATGGCAAACATTTTGAATGTCAACTATTTCCCACATGACCTAGCGAAGTTCGAGGAGTCCCACGCGGGGTGGGAACGCGACGTCGCGCGGCATGAGAGGACTGCAGGCGAAGTCTTCAACGCTGGCGCGAAGAGAGCATCGACCTCATATCGCGCCCAATAACATCAGGGCGATGCTCCAGATAGCAAGCGAGGGACCTACGACGAGCGCGCAGCGACCACTATCTAGTGCCTGCGGGCGGCGACGATCGACGATCGACGGGTGCCGCGAGCACCCGCCCCCGCCACTTAGACTTCCAAGGGGCCTCAACGCCGTGGAGGTCGACGCGCCAACTAGGACTCGCGGCCCGGGCAGAGGCAGGGGCCGCGGCGGCAACGGCGATGGCGGCAAGGGGGGCATGGGCGATGGAGGCAAAGGCGGAAAGACAAGAGGGCGGACAAGTGGGAAGACGAACCAGACGGACGCCAGGCCCGAGCGCTTCGACTGCGGGCGCAGGGGCCGCCACCAAGGGACTGCTGGCCCGGGCGGGCGGCTAGACAGGGCCCAGGGGGCGTCGTCGCGGGGGCCCCAGAGGCAAGGGCAGGGGACGGACCAGCCAAAGCGCTTCGGTCTTCGAGCTCTCAGCGCATATGGATGCTTGGTCGCTGGCGGGCCCTGCGCTCCGCAGCGCGGTGGCGTCGACCACGGAGCGCTTGGCCGGCCATGCCGGGGCGCCTGGGCCCCAGAGGCGGGCGACGCCAGGAAGGGTCTCGCCCGCGCTGCAGCAGGCAACGACCGCCGAGTCCGATCTGGAGCCAGGCTACTCTTCGCGGCGACGGAGAGGCCCACGATCAGCGACGCGAGGGCCGATGGCGAGTGGACTAGCATGCTGATGCTGACCGGTCGCCGCGCGGACGAGCACGCCCGCGGCCAGCAGGAAACCGAATTCGGCGGCGGCCGACGGCGCCCCGCTGAAGCATTGCGGCGAGAAGACAGCGGCACTCCACATCGCAGGCGACCGCGCGACCATCCAGGTGGCGGGCGCGAGGCCAGCGCGACGGGCAGGGGGGGGCACTGCGACGCGAGACCGCGGGAACTCGTCAGGGCGCAGACGGTCAACGACCACTGCGGTCTCGAGCGTTGGGTCAGGAACGGGCGCGCCCAGGACTGATCGACGGCTCGCGGCGCCAATGCGAGCGGCAGCCGCAGCGCGACCGGGCGAGGAGGATGACGGCCGCGCGGCAGAGCGAGCGCTAGCAGGCGGGCCGCCCAGCTACGGCAGCGGGGCCCCGGTAGGCAGCAGATGGACAACTGGCTCAGGCAGTGGGCCCAGCGGATGCACGGCCAGCAGCGGATGCACCAGCCGATGCGCCCGTGGAAGGGCCAGCAGCGATCCCCGGCGATCGCGCCCACTGGGGGCCCGAAGCGATTGCGAATGGCGTCGCAGGACCACGTGACCCGAGCGCGGAGGAGATTCACGGGCGCGAACTAGCGCGCTGCACAGCAGAACATTGGTGCCAGTCCTGCGCGAAGGCGAAGGCCATTGATGCGGCGCAAAGAAGGAGGGGCGCCATCATTCCGCTGATCAGTTTGGAGCACGGTCAGGCAGGAGAGGATGACGACCCAGTCGACTGGTCGGGGGCGTCGCCTCCACGGGTAGCACGTGGAGCGCGTCCGTCGTCAAGGAGGGCAGCGGCCACCCTTTGCGCGATGGTTTCAGCGGTGTCGTGGCTGGCTGAATTGGGGCGCGAGTCGAATTGCAGTCAGGGGGGGCAGCGGAGTTCTCGCGCATTACGGCGGTGGGGGAGAAGGCTTTACAGGGCGGGCCTGCCAGGCCACCCTGACGAGACAGGCAAAGAGGTATTCCCAGGCCAACGGACGGGCAGAGAGAGCCGCCCAGACTGAGGAAGCAGGTGGAGGCACTCATGGCCGCGTCGAAGAAGATAGAGAACAGGCACTTCACGTCGGGCCCCCCATTCCTCGCGCGGCCCCCCCGCAACGCAGCGTGGGTCTACGTCGGTGGCGCGGCGGAGGGGGGCGCTGGCCCGACGCCCTACGAGAATGCGCACATGCGTAAAAACCAGAAACCACTCGCGGCGGTCGGTGGGGCGGCGATCTGCAGACGGCCCCGGGCCTCGCGGCTGGAGGGCGTCTATTTGGCCAGGGCAGGGTCGCCAGGACCGACGAGCACTTCATCGTCGCCCCGGCGGAAGTCGCCAGGGCCAGGGCGATCGGGCCGAAGGTGGCATGGGCTGGGGCCCAGCCACGTTCGACAATGGCCCGGGCGCCTCGGGAGGCGACCTCGGCGTCGAGGGGGGGGCCGCCGGCCCGGAGATCGATCCAGCAACCGATCATGTCGGAGCCCCCCATCCAGGATTGCAGAGGCTCCGTTGCCAGCCCCGACGGCCGAGGCGGCGGGGGCGCCCGCGGGAGCAGGGGCCCCGCCAGGTGGAGGCGCCCACCGGGAAGAGGAACCCCGCCAGGCGGAGGAACCCTACCAGGACGAGGAACCCTGCCGGAAGGAGGAGCCACAGCAGGAAGGCTTCAGCAGCAACGCGCGCTCCCAGACCCGCGGCAGCGGCGCCCGGAGGCTCCGCATCGTTCGACGACGCGGACATCGATGTGGCCAGTTTGCAAGCTAAGCGCTGCGAGCACAGATCAGTTGAGGGCGTGGACCCAGCCCCGCCAGCTCAGTCGGCGGGGGCAGCAGCGGCGACCAGCTCAGCGCCACTAGCTCAGGCAGTGGCAAGGGCGGCGCCGGCTGCTGGGACAGCGGCCCCGAAGGGAGCGAGACGAAGACGGCGGAGGTGACCGGGCCAGGAGCAAGTCACGGATCGCAGCGATTTGCGCGGTCAACGAGTGCTAGGAGCCGACGGCGGAGGACGACGAGGTCTAAGCGAACGGGGGCGACGTCCACATGGAAAGGACAGAGCACCTCGAGGAGATCGTGGGCGGTGGCAAACAGATCGCGAAGCGCATTCCAATTGTCAGGGCGACCTCCAGGATCTCGACGGGCAAGCGGGTCGACACCTGGCCGACGGCAGCAAAATGAGTAGATGGGCCACGCCGGGATTTTAGCAGCAGGCCTACGGGCGGTGAAACTCCGTTGCCACCGCTCCGTCACTACCGCACCTGACGACGATATTTGTGAACGCTGAGGTGAGCGGCTACGCGATGGCGCTCGGCGACTGCAGCGGAGCATTCTACCGGGCGCCCCCGACGGAGAACATAATCTTTTTGGAGCCGCCACCCGATGCAGTAGTGCCAGCGGGTTGCGCGTGGGATGCGCTCCCAGCACCGAAAGGGGCACCCGCGGTGGGGGGGGGGCGCGGCGCAGTGTCGATGCAGCAGATGGGTCTTGATCGGAGGCGTTGCGACGGCTGCGTCTGCATGAGGGCCCGCGACAAGGTCGGGGCAGGACGACGCGCCGATGACTTCTTCGCAGCAGGGCCCCCGGAGTCAGTGGACCAGTTATTGGCGGACACGGGCGAGAAGCCCATTGGGCTCTCGGACGTGGTTGCGCTGTGCAACGCAGGCGACGAGGGCATCTTCATGAGCGCGCGGGTCCGCGAGATCGAGGGGGCGTCGTTGATCGAGAACGCGCTGATGGAGCTCTGGTTGCAGACGGCGAAACCGTCAGCGGTCGCTGAGATGAAGAAAGTGGTTCAGCAGGAGGATGAGATTGAGTCCCCGAACGCAGCAGGGCACGGCGCGCGCGGGGCGCCCGCGGGGAAGTTATTACACTTGTCAAGCCACAGGGCAGACATGCAGCGCGGAGTTGGCGCGCCTAGCCGCGGCGTGGCGGCGCATATTGAGAGAATTGAGAGAGACCAGCGCGGGTTGAAGAAGATGGCAAGGTACCTGGCAGGGACGAAGAGCGTGGAGGTGGCGCTGCTACCAGACAAACAGATCGAGCATATCGCACAGTGGCGCAAGGACGCATACTGGGCAGACGACGAGGACGACGGGATCTCAGTCAGCGGCGGCGCACTGCAGTACTACGGGTGCGTTGTGCTGTCGTGGGCACAGCGTCAGAGCGGCGCGGCCCTGAGTTCAGCGGAAAGCGAGTGTTGTGCGCATTCGGATCCAGAGCAGCCGAGGCGCTCGGACTAGCATCGCTGATGAGCGAGTGGTACGAGAACGCGACGCGCGACGCTTGTCCCGGCAAGCGACAGCAGCAGCGCGCTGCGCATCGCGAAGAAGACAGAACCAGGCAAGATGAGGTACATCGGGGTCAGTCTTCGGCTTTGCAGCAGCGGCGCGATCAGAAGCGTCTGGAGCTCGAAAAGATTCACGCGGACGGCGACGAGGCAGACGTGCTGACGAAGCCGATGACCCAGGAGTAGCTCGTAAAGTCCCCGCGCAACGTAGGCTGAGTAGATGGGCCGTTCCGCTCACTCAGCGACGACGAACTAGCCAAGGCAGTTTGGACAGTCCGCAGCATGAAGAAGGGCTTGAACCAGCAGAGTGGGTAGGTAGCACCATTCGGGATGGACATCGGATCCAATAACCAGTTAAGATGAGCAGGCAGACCGGCGAAACGTCCAGAGAAATACTTTCGAGAAGTTTGCCCTACATCTGTTTGGGACGACAGTGGAAGTCATATCTTGGGTCACGCGCCTCCAGATGAATCGGAGGGTATGTTGGGGCGCGTCTCTGGGGCCTCTTCGAATATCTTGGGGACATGGGGGGGGGGGGGGTTGGGGCCTCGCGGGGGCCTTTGGGGGGTTTCTTGGGGGCGTCTTGGAGGCCTTTTGGGACCTTTTGGGCGGTCCTCGTGGGCCTCTCGAGGGGACATCTCGGTGGTCAAGGTTCGACATGTCAGTTCGTATTCCCCGTTTTGGGCGTCTTGGAGCCCCCTTCCTCCAGGGGCGTCTTTGGCCGTCCTGGAGGGCCCTGGGGCTGTCTTTGGGCCCTCGTGGGCCGTATTGTGACCTTCTTGGAAGCATCACGAGCCGTCTTGGGACGATCTTGGGGGCCACTTGGGCCGTCGTGTTCGCTGTCAAAAAAGTCACATGCGAATGTGCTAACAACGCACGCCTTCCCATGATAATCAGATGATTTTGGCCTCTTGGGGCCTTCTAGGCGATCCTCTGGAGACGCTTTGGGGCTGCCTTGAGGGCCTCGCGTGCCATCATGAAGCCATTTTGTATCGTCGTGGGGATACCTTGGGCCGTCATGACGTTCTCTTTGGACTGACTTGGCACTCTGTCTGGGCCTTGTTGGGCTGTCTTGTGGCTTTTTGGCAGGTCCGGGCGCCCTGGGGGTGCGTTGACGAGCTCGCCCCCCCCCCCCCCCTCCTTTCAGAATGGCATTATGGACCTCGGGGGAGGGGGAACAGGGGGAAGGGGGACAGCCAAATGTCTCACACGCCTTTTCACCCCCAGCATGCGGGGGTCAGCGGATTATGTAAGTGCGTGCGCATTCCGCAGTCTATGCGGCACGACAAGCATCAGTCCCTTGGTGCAGCGACTTTCCGCTTTTGTGCCTTGCGGGTGGTGGGCAAGAGGCGAGGGGGAAATGGAGGGGCAAATGAGAATTGAGAGAGGGTTAGGGATGGGAAGGAAATGTTTGGGGGATTAGAACGCTTTCCTCCCTCGCCCACTCCTCCTAGTCCCCCCCTCTGGATTTCGATATGGGTCGCCCGCAGGGACAGGAAGATGATCGTGGTTTTTCGCCACGGAGCCTGGGCAGAAGAGCTGTTCCTCTGGGCGCGGAGCAAGAGCTCAGCTCGCGCGGCGCGGAACGCGAGATCACATGCCCGACGGAGCGTCGGCCGCGGTCCCTGGGCCGTGTCCTGGGGCGCCTTGTGGCCAGGTTGTCAAGGCGGGGCCAGTCGCGGCGAGTCTTAAGTCGGGCCTGTCCCTCTACAGGAGGATTACACATATATATATATATATATATACTAGAACCATCGCGCGCGCTTCGCGCGCGCTCAGGTTCTAGCAGGCCCCAGGCCTTGACGAATTCACTGCTCCACTGAAGTAGTGGACCACAGTCCACGCATGCCAATCTGCATTCCGAAAGGCCTTCGAGGAAATGGTTGTGTAGGGGGGCGGAAGCCGTATGAATCTGATTCCCAGAAGGCCTTCTGGGAGCATGGGTTTGGGGGCGTCTTGGGGAGCCAGTTGGGGCGTGCCGTCGTCGTCGTCGTCGTCGTCGTCGTCGTCGTCGTCGTCGTCGTCGTCGTCGTCGTCGTCGTCGTAATGTCGTCATCGTCGTCGTCGTCGTCTTCGTCTCCTGTAGCGGATCCCTAGACCCCCCCCGGGTCCAAACGAGTAGGCGCAGCAGCAGGAGCAGAAGGCGCTGGGAGCGAGAGGGGAGGCGGAGGAGGAGGAGGAGGGGGAGGAGGAGGAGGAGGAGAAGGGGGAGCAGGAGGGGAGGAGGAACAGTTCAACCGACATCGGCTACGGAAGGACTCTCCAGGGCCCACCTGACGACTGCCTCTTCTGATGCTCCTTGAGGGGCTTCAACCAAACCGCGAGGATCTCGTCGTACGGCGTACGTCGAACGTCATCGGCCGTCCTAGGGCCTCTCGGGGCCTCTCGGGGGCCTCTTGGGAATCTATTGGGCCCTCCTGGGTGGCCTCTTGAAGTGGAAGGCTCCAAATGTCGGTTCGGGCTCCCCCATATTGGGCATCTCTTGTGGCCGTGTTGGGGCCCTCCTGGGCCGTCTTGGGCGGCTCGTAGGCCGTCTTGGGACCCTCCTGGCCGTATTGGGGTTCTCTTGGGGGCTTCTCGGGCTGTTTCGGCGCGGTCTTGGTGACCCCTTGAGCCGGCATGGAGATTGGGAAAGCCGACAAGGCGAGAAGGGCGAAGTCCTTCAAAAGACGCATAGAAAATCAACGAATTTGGGCTCTCGGGGATCTGTTGGGAGTCCTTTTGGAGCCTTCTTGTGGCGTCTTGTGGGCCTCTTCCGGGTTCCTTCGGGGCTTCTTGGGGCAGACTGCTCGAATGGTCGGTTCGGGCTTCCGTTCTTGAGTCCCTCGTGGGGCCGTTTGGGGTCCTCCTGGGCGTGCTGGGCGCCTCCTGGGTTATGGGGCCCTGTTGGGTAGTCCTGGCGTCCCCTTGGGAGCTTCGCGGGTTTCCTTGGGTCGATTTTTTACCGACGGAGACGCATCAGCCTGGCGCGCACTTGTCTGGTCGATTGCCCACGGGCGCGCACGCAAGGCGGAATAAAATAAACGATCGCCTCCGCGGTGAAGAGAAAGAAGCTGCGCTGGCGGGGTTTCGCGCCAGAGACACAACCGCCTCGCGCGCACCTCTATGGTCGATCGCCCAAGGATGTGCGCGCAAGGTGGAGCGACCAGCTCTTGGAGGTGAAGAGATACATCAGATTCACTGGGCTGACCGCAGGCGGACGTCACCTGCGAGCCAGCAGTGCAGCCTGACGCGCCGTGGCGCGAACGGCACAAATAATACTTCCCGAGGCCAGCGGGGGCGCTCACCGCGCCACGGCGCGCCACGGCGGGGCGATCGGGGGTCGAGGAGGAAGGAGGGAGAAACAAGGAGGAGGAGGAGGAGGAGGAGGAGGAGGAGGAGAGGAGAGGAGAGGAACGCGGGGCGCTGTCTCTTCAAAACGAGGACCCAACACCACAGGATGGTTGGGAAACAGAACTGCGTCTAATTCGCTGCGCCGGCCTGACATGCCAAGGCTCACAAACTGAGGCGCCGAACAATTCCACTGCTGAGCAATGGGAACTCAAAGACCCAGAGGGTCGACGCTCTAAACAGTCATTCCAACCGCTGCGAACAAAACATCTGGCCGAACCGCGAACGGATCTGCGCCGACATCAGTTTTTATGGTGACGTAGCCATGGCTATATAGCTTGTCCAGCAAGGTGTCTTTCTTCTCCATGTTCGGAAGACTTTCCCATCGAATCAGTTTGGGACTGAACTTGGTGAAATCTATCCCAGTCAGAATATGCGCATCGTGCGATTCGGCATCAACCTGCACAAAATCTGGTGATTCTGGGACGTTCCCGAGGCGCATAACATAGTCTGTTGTGCCGCATGGAACCTCGAGCTCTTCCCACTGGCCTTCGCCCCGCGTCTGCATTTTCTGCCCGTTCTCACTATCTTTGATCGTTCCTGTTCCGAATTTCCATTTGAACTTTTCGTTGCCCTCCCAGAAAACTGGGCTGGGTACGACAAATTTTAATGTGGAAGCATGACAAACATCTGTGACAGCAGTATTTATCATGCGAAGTGTGCCTGCTGATAGCTGCTCAACATATGCTTCCTTCAATTTGTCAACGTTGTACCGGTTGGC